ATATAATGTAGAATATATGTTTGTCCGAATGATAGGGTGGCAATATTTGTCTACATATGCTAGTTGTCCACCTAAAACAGCTCTAAATGTATCTACTTCGTGGCCTCCCATCTTGTTGTACATGCCCTCCATTAACCACTTAAAATTGTTTTTTTTTTAATTAATTAATTAACGTGGCTTTTTTGGTAGTAGTAGACGTGTTTTTCTTTTGGCTTAAATTCCTAAAAACAAATGACACTTTTGGCTTACTTTGCATTTTGTGTTAAGAATTAATAATGATGAAAAGTGGAAAAAGGAAATTTAAATTATTATTTGGCAGGATTACAAGCTCTCAATCATTGGTACAAGTACAGTTAGCTTATAAAGTGAACCTATTTTAAATTAGCTTCATGGAATAATTAATTAATTAATAGTTCTTCTTAAAAGGCATCAACTTTTGAACTAAGAATAAAGAATTTGGAATTTAAATGTGAGTTTAATTAATAAAGAAGAATTGATATAAGGGATTATGTGTCACATTAAAAGAAATTTTATCAACTACTACGTATTAGGACTGAGACTGAATTGAGTCTGTCGATTATCAGCCTAAAAACACCGACTCATCCAACAAATCAATTTTATTCAAATTTGAAAACCATTGCCGGCCAAATATTTGGTTTTGAAATGGGTCGGTTGATGGGTATGTCCGTCAGCTAGTTCACTTTAAAGAAAAAAAATCAAAATTTGAAAAAAAAAAATGCACATTATGCCACACTCACAAATCACAATGATCAGTTCAAAATAGTTAATAGCAATTCGAAAAAAAAATATAACTCTGAAATTCAAATTAATCACATCCATACACATTCTCAAATTATGGTAGAAAATTTATGTAAAAAAATTCCTTGTTGAATTTTTCAATTTTTTTTAATTTAAAATTCCTACTATTTTGATAATTCCAAAACCCACTTAAAAAAAACCACAACCTTTGTTTAAAAAAACCACAACTATTTTGGTTTCTTTCATATATGCACACATATTCCTTTTCATTTTGATTAAAAATTGAAAGAAGGAAAAAGTTTTGATTATCGTCTTCACCAAAACAATTATTTGGAAAAATGGGGATATGAGGGGACACCATATATATTGTAGTTGGAGTCAACTCTGCAGCAATGAGTATATGATTCATCAAATCTTACACGTACGGCCTTTAACCTTATCTTCTACTTGGGTCCGTCCACGTCGGATTCAACCCCACGTCATTTAATTATATCTACCACGGATGGTAAATTTAATTATATATTTTTTTTCAAATATAGACGTTTAGTCCAATTGATGCATGATTACTCAAGTTAAGTAGCTCGGGAGTCGAGTTGGAGAGACGATCGGAAACGTCGGGTTCAATACATGTTCGTATATGCCATATGCAAAATAACTTAACACACTATGTGAGATGCTAGAAAATTCTCCCCCGATTACACCAGATGATCTCGCGCAGTGCCGTTCTTGAGATTTTGGGAGCCCTAGGCGAGTTTTAAAGATGGTTGAAAAATGGGGGCCCTTCTATAATTTGTTAAAACTCATTTTTTTATAAAAATGTGATAAACTTTATGTTAACTCGTTTTTGTAAGGTATATAGCCAGAGACAATGCTATAAATTCTTGATATATTGATGTTATAGTTTCCTGAGGTTTGGGGGCAGCGCCCCCGATTTTGTTAAGGATAATTTTTATGAAGTAGCACTAACACAAGTGTAAATATATAAAAATCAATAGCTAATGCCCTATAAATTTAATAATTGGGGGCCCGTGATTAGAGGAACTATACAAACAAATAAAAATCATTGATCAATATCTATTTATGAATTAGAGTTCTCAATAATTATATATATATATATAGATAATATATTTGTTTTAAATAAATACTAATATATAAAGGGTATAAAAAAGTTTGGGGCCCTAAATTTAAAAAAAAAAATCCCGGGGAACCGCCTAATTCGCCTTCCCTCGATGCCTAATCTCACGTGTTGATAGCAAACTTAATGCTAAAACGTCATAAAGTAGGCAACATGTTATGTACCCTCCAATAAATTAAAGGTGAATATGTGGATGATAAATAGATGAAGATTTATTAAAACCGGTCCCGTTTGGTTGCCAAGATAAGTCATGATTAACTAAATAGTTGGACTTAATTTGATGTTTGGTATCCTCAATAAATTGCCGGGTCGACCCACCAAAATTATATAATCACGACTTATCTTGCCTTATAATGAGTTTTTTTTGTTAGACGTTTCAAGCTCCAATAAAATAATTTGATCTCATTAGATTATTTAATCTTATCTTGACTAATCTTATTTTGGCAACCAAACGTGGCCCTATATTACTATTTCATCCATGTGGGATTGAGGAATAACCCCAATCAAACTTTCATAAACTCAGTAGATTTATTTGGGTCTAATTGGACTTGTTGGGACAGTTGAGCTAGTTGATTTGGATTTAAAACTTTGGTCCGTGAGAATTACAAATACAAATTTATAAGAAAACAATGTATACATATTAAATCTTATAACGTTTGTTTTACGATTAAGAATAAAAAAAATCAGTAAGGCCGACTCAAATCCATAACCAAATAGGTTCTAAGAGCAAGGTGTTTACCAATAAACTACTTTGTCTTGTGGGTAACTTAAAAGTATAATATACATATATTTCATTTTATTAATTAATCACAAAGGGCACGACATCTACTAATTTTATTAAGGGGTCATTAGCAATAAACCCCTCATATAGATAATAAATGGTGATATGTCGACCCCTTAAATCTTTCTTTGTGATAACCCCTAGAATTTGTATTCCCAATTCTACCCTTATGTCAATTAGCATAATTAGTCTCAATTGTTCTTTTTTTCTCTCTTTCAATAACAATAATCTAATTCCTAAAAATTTGCTTCATAATTCCTAAAAATTTGCTACCAAATAAAAAAAAATGATTTTTTTTAGTTTTCTTTTATTTATTTTTATTTTTTTATTATTTTCGGATTTTTAGCCATTTTTTATTTATTTTTATTTTTTAATATTTTTTTTAAATTTTTTTTACACAAAAAATTGATTTTTTTTTCAACAGATTTACAACTCCGAATATGAATATAGTTGAATATGACTATATGTGATTCTTTTTTTATATTGCAATTTTTTACATTTTCAACTTAAAAATTCCGATTATATAGTGTGGTATAGTCATGTTTACCAAATTATATAAAACAACGAAGATTCCCTATTATTTACGAAAACAATCCAATCAAAATCGACACAAAAAATAACAATTTTGAATCTAGTTATTAGAAGTCAACTTGAAAACGAGAAGATAGAACATATTCGAATATGACTACAGTCATATTCAACAATAGTCATATTCGAATATGACTACAGTCATATTCGAAAATACATAAATATGACTATAGTCATATTCGAACATGACTATAGTCATGTTACTGTTGTTGTTCAGATCTGAAACTCTATTTTCAGATCTGAAAAAAAAATCGAAAAATACATAAATAAAGATAGCAAAATAACGAAAGAGAGTCATGGGGAGTCGACGATAACGACGATGGTGGCGGTGGTGAAGGAAACAGAGTGAGAGAGGCCGCGGCGGTGGTGGTGGTGGACAAATCTGGAAAAAAAAATAAAAAAAATAGAAAGTTAACGAAAAATGGAGAAAGAGCCTTACGTGGAAACGAAGGAGGAGGCGGCGGCAACGAGCGGCGACGGTAATGGTTGTGTACAAATCTATGTGGAGACGATGGTGGTGTAGAAGGAGAGAAATCGAGAGAAACAACGAACACGAGAAAATAATAAATCACTAATCGAGTGAATCAACAATAGTCATATTTGAACCAGAGTAGTCACGTTGATGCTGCTGTTTCAGATCTGGAGAAAAAAAAAATCGAAAATAACGAAAGGAAGGGAGGGGGAGATGACGACAACGACGGCGAATGACAGAGAGAGTGGGGACGTGGCTACGGTGTCGGTGGACCTGGTGGACAAATCTGGAAAAAAAAAACTGAGAAATTGAGAGAAAACGAAAAAAGGAAAATTTCCATGTAACGCATCCGACGAAGGGCGGCGACGAGGTGGGAGAGGCACCGCCGCCACCACTTGTACGGAGGAGGGCCTCCTGCATTGGTTTCGGCCGACCGGCGGTTGAAAGGTATTTTGACTCCGGCGGTGATGAGTGCACGAACAACGGTGGCTATGGTGAGTGGACTACGGTGGTGGTGTGAAAAAGATGAAGGAGGTTGCCGGCGATATACAGTTCTGCAGAAAGACGAAAAAAAAAAAGAAAAAAAAAAAAAAAGATGAGAGATTGAGAAAGTGAGAGAGAGAGGGGGGAGTGAAAGAGTGAAATAAATTATATCACGTTGAAAACCTAATCACAATTCACATAAGAGAACTTTAGTCTTATCATGTCTGGTTAGGGGGATCTCACTAATTAAGAATGAAACTTGGGTGTAGGCAAAAGTCTCTAATAGTCAATTGGGTTTAGTTCAAAATATTTTCCATTTGAGGAGGGTATGGCATATTTCCCCTTTTATTAAATAGTATTATTTAGTTGCCGACTTCACATTTTATTGCAAGACAAAATGATGATAACAAGCTCAAATCAACTGAACCGATGAAAATTACAGTAATACATGCAAGATTACGAAACAAATGGTTTGAAAAAGACATAATGATAATAAATCCCAATCCAGCTCCTTCAGATGATGGTAAAATTTATTGAACAACAAAGAAAAAATTTAAGTCGTGCACAAAATAATAAATCAACTTTTAGGGGGCCTAATAATTAGTTTACCAGCTTGACCCAATCATGATGGTTCAAATCCATTAATACTTAGAAAAAAAAACATTAGACCACAACTCTATTTCTACGTTCAAATAAATCACTCATAATCATTCTTACTCACACAATGTAAAAATCCTAACTTTTTTTTGAACCCTAGTCACCATCTATTTATAGACACTTACACTAGTCTATTGTCACTCGTAATATCCGCACTTATCCAATATGAAACCCTAGAACCACCACCACCATCGCCAACACTATAGCTACCGTTTCCGCTATTGCCATAACCACCCCATATAACCACGACCACCACCCCTATCACCCCCACCATACCTACCACCGCCATAATAGCCACCATGATCACCCCCACCATATACACCACCATCATAGCCGTCGCCACCCACCATAGTCTCCACCATAACCACCCCCAAACGAACTCGATCGCAAATTGTAATAGAGAGAAGACCAAAGAAGAGAAATACATTTGAGTTGAAGAAACATGAGTATATAGTTTAGTATATTTAGGCCCCGTTTGGTTGGCAAGATAAGATTAGCCAATATAAGATTAAATAATCTAATGGGACTCAATTATTTTATTGGAGTTTGAAACGTCCAACAAAAAAAACTCATTAGAAGGCAAGATAAGTCACGATTATATAATTTTGGCGGGTCGACTCGACAATTTATTGAGGATACCAAACATCAAATTAAATCCAACTATTTAGTTAATCATGACTTATCTTGGCAACCAAACAGGACCTTAGAATATAAGAGCAACTTAAAGATAAAAAAAAATAGGGACCTGGGTCATATAATTTATTTCCAAACAAGGATTTAATTTGAACTTGTCGTTTAATTCATGTCATGTTTGATTTAGGATCTTCATAGCGTATTACCCCTTTTATTTTTAATTCTGTATTCTTGTTCAAGGTAGAAGGGATCAAAGACTTGACTTTATCAGTATTGAGTAGTACTTAATTTAATATAAGAAGCAAGAACGTGGGGACAATTAATATGAATTATCTCAACTAATATTCCCATATAATCAAGACAATTAACCCTAATTGATTTAGAGTGAATGATTGCATCTCCCCAAAAAAAACATTAATATAATCAAGACAAAGTTTGGGATCTTAAGATAACATTTCCTTTTAATTTTTTTTTATTTGATTTGGGTGAGGCAATGTCACACTCAAATAAATGGAGCTCTATTATTTTCTTTTTCACAATTATTAATAGATCTGAAATTATGGCCATGCTATTTAATTAATTAATTAATAATAATACATGATTACTTGACTTAAGAAACACATATTTCATTGAAGGAAAAAAACAAAAACGAGGAACACATCATTCATTCATTGTGTACATCAAGAGGAAAAATAAAATAGAGAATTCCAACATCAAGAAAACGATATATACTGCTATTTTGTAGACCATCAAATCAACAACTTTCAGTGTTTCCCCATCAACTCTCATATACTGATAATATTTTTTTTTTAAGTAAATGGTTAATTACGGTCATCCCTGAGATAATGTCTAATTACGAAAAACTTTTTGTTTGGGTAATTACAACCATTTCCTCATACCTTAACTATGAATCTTCTTACACGTCTCCTCTTATGGTGTTAAATTCAACATAATCTTCTGAAATGTTATCTATTTTGTACTCGTTTTGTGTAAAAATGCAGATTCTGGTGCACCACAAAATCTGATATTTACAAGCCAAGATACATCTTATGATCATCTTGTTTCAGAATGAGGAGCTCGGATGGGATAAAACGAGTACAAACTGAAAAATATTCCACAAAATTTAGAAGATTCCACTAAATTGTGACTAGACCAAAGATCTTGTCCTCGTCTTAATTAATTTTATTTTGTGAAGTTTTATCTATATTGCCCATCGAATCCTATCAACACGTCCTTTTCCTAGTTGTAATAAAAATAGGTGGGATTCATTCTACTCTCTTTAACCGATATGGGATGTCTCTACTGATTTAATGTACTCATCGACGGTATTAACTTCTTCACCCGTCGGACACTTCTAAATAAATCCACAAACGTAAGTATCGTTTTTACTCGTTGATGATTTATAAGGACTGCAACGACTAAAATACATCTACAAAGACTATTCGAAAATGAAACATATACTGCATTTAAAGGGGCTTCTTAATCTAGAAAATTCGATCAATTTTAGGACCACTCTCAATAATTCAGTACCACAAGGGTCACATAATGCAGCAAGTATGATTGCACGGCACCGCCAAAGCATAATAAATTATATTGACACAAACATGTATCAACTCGAATAAATGTCGGAACGATCATAAAAACAACTGAACAACATATAATCCACCTTCTTTATAAGCAATAATCAGTTCATCGCAATAAAAATACACGGATAAAAGCTTTTGCTGCATTTAGTCGTGAAAACTCACATCGTTGGAGAAATAATTGAAGTACTAATAATGCTATATGCACAGCTTCTCCTTCAACCAATGTTTTCGGCGTCTCTGCGCGCAAAAGTAGTACATGTATTAATAGCATTAACAAATTCAAGAAAAGAAAAGGTGTTCAATATCATAATAGAGATGTTCTACTACGTGCATGCAGTGTTATTGGTTATTTTAACTCGTCATTTAATTTTTCTCAAAAGAAAAAAGAAAGAAAGAAAAGCTCGTCATTTTATCATGCAATATCAAAAGAGGCATCACATTAGCCAGATTGCTCTTAAACATTAGCCAAAGGTTGCAACCGATAAAATAGCAGGAATCGCATAAACCGAAGTAATTAAAAATATTGAGGGGAGACATATTATAAAGATATAAACAACAATATGAAAAGCACGATTTCAATCCGAATCATGAGAACAAACTACAAAGCCATAATCACTAACATACTAGATTAATATCAGTCTCACCTTTCGTGTCGAACATATGGTTGACAGAGATCACCCGATCATTGTGCGCTTTCTTCCTCTTTGTCGCACTAAAATTGGTCATCAAATAAAACAAACATACACGAGACCAAAATTAGTATAATGCAAAAACCATCCTTGTTGATGGTTTAGACCAAAAATACTTGATCACATGAAATCGAAAAATATGAATAGAAGGCGAACCTTGTGCTAGTTTGTTCAAGGTCGAAGACCACTGCTTTGAGGATTTCCTATATGCAGCAAGGATTTTGTCCATCTATCCAAACATGATAATAGAAAAATATTAAGAGTGCTTCCAGAATACCTCATTTTGATTGGGAAAAAAAGGGAAAGCCACAAAACAAACATCATTCTAAATAAGGTCAAATTACGAAAAAAATCTCTTCTGTTTGGGTAATTACAACCACCCATCAACTATGAATCTTCTTACACGTCCACCCTCATGGTGTCAAATTCAACAATCTTTTACATTCCGTGGAATGTTCTATAGATTGTGCTCGTTTTGTGCCGAAATGCAGATTATGATGCACCACAATCTGATATTTACAAGCCAAGAGACACATCCTATGATCATCTTGTTTCAAAATGTGGAGCTCGAATGGGATCAAACGGGTACAAACTGGAGAATATTCCACATAATCTTGACGATTCCACTAAATTTGACACCACAAGGGTGGACGTGTAAGAAGATTCATAGTTGAAGGGGTGATTGTAATTACCCAAACATGAGGGGTTTTTTCATAATTACCCTTCTAAATAATGCTAAAATAACAAAATATACTAAACATCTATTAAAAAAAGTTGAGTCGTAAAAAGTTGGTATAGATCATTCCGAATCTTTTCAAAAACCAAGTGAAAATTTGACCACACAATATAACTGCTCACCACATTGCCGCATGAAGAATGCATAGATAGCAAAGCTCGTTCAAGAACATACAAATCAACAGCTTTGTCTTCTGGAAGGGTTGATGTGAAGCTTAGACCAAAATCAATGAGTACCTTTCAAACAATTTAAATGATTATTAAATAATGGTTTACTCACGAAAAAAAAAAAAAAGAAGCATTATCGCAAAGTTAACCCAAAATATGCTAAACCTACCAGCTTATTGGTATCATGACGGATCAACATGTTCGATGTTGTCAAATCGCCATGGATAAGTCCACCGTCGTGTATTTTGCCAATGGCGTTACCAATTTGTGTAGCAATATCATCCAACTGTTCTTCAACGATACCTTTCAACCCAAAGCCGAGTAATACGTCCTTCACAGCGGGGCCCACCACAAACTCGAATGTTAACGTGTGCATCAAAGGATCAACAGCGTACAGCACGGGGGTCAAAACCCCTAGCTTTCTAGCCTTTGTCATGCACCTCGCTTCCTGCCTCCGATATCACTTAAAAAGTCAAGCTAACAGCAAGAGAATTTCAAAGCCAATTACGAACTGTGTTATATAACGAAACTAACCGCATTGAGACGTTTGACAGTGAGCTTTGTGTCCAGAGATGGATGCCGGTATTTTTTCGAGAAACGTTCCTTAACAACTGACCTTTTGCCGACAAAAGTTGACTCAAACACTCTCTGGTGACGAGAAAAATACATAATTACCGACAAAACAGGTCAATCAGCTTATGCAAGTAGTAAGAAGATAACTTTCAAACTGGTGAATTACCGACAAAACGAGAAATTTTATATCATCCAAAATCGAAAGAATTACATCCATCCACCAAAGTGGCGAACCGAGTTAATTTGCCTAATAGACTTTTAACAGGATACAAAATAATTAAGTTCACATGGAAGGGCGAAAATAAATAAGGCGATGGTTTACGACAATATAAAAAGTTCTCGAAGGACAAAATTTCAACTTACGGCCTCAGCTCCTTGCTTAATTAAAACAACAGAACCCTCTTCTCCATCTAACTTCATCTCCATATCTAAAAATCAAACAAAATTTAATTAATCAACTAATAAAAAATTAAAACACCATCAGGCGAATACGCACAAAATAATAGCCGACGGATTAATTAACCAATCTATCATTATTAACAACAAGCCCTTGTACTTTATGACGTCACCATTTCTGTTTATCTTTCCCAATTAATCATATCTTCTTGATAATTTGGTTTCACTAAATATGTCTACGATTTATATACTTAAATGTAAACCCTAGAAATGAAAACAGGCATAATGCATCTACAGCCAAATTGATTCAATTCAAGACTCCGGGTCGACTCAGCAAACTCAGCAGTTACCATGAAATAAAAAATCTATTACCATTATATTTTCTCCAACACTGCCAATTTTCAACAGCGTCACAAAGTAATAGCATAAACTACGACAAGAAAAAATGAATTGTGTATAATTTGAACTACCAAGTAGAATTAAAGTACTATGAAGATGTAATATGAAATCGAACCTGCGGCGGCAGTTGACCGGCGATGGCGGCGTTAGCAGTTGTAGAGTCTGAAGTTCTCGTTGGGGGAAGAGGAGGGTTTAAGAATTACGTGGGTTGGGCATTTTCTTGTGTAATTTTTCATTTCCGGACCGGCTGGTTCAACCGGTGACTGGTCGAGTTACGATGCGACTATAAAACTCGGAAAACTCAAAAACCGGGTGGAATGATTACGGACTGGGAAAGTTACAGTTGAACCGGATAGAACCGGTGAAAGGAAGGAGAGAGGGTGGAATAGTGCATTGTTTATTGATTTTAGTTAATTTTTATTCCTCTTCTACTTTGGCTTAATATCACTTTACCCCTTATACTTTGGCTCGATATCACTTTATCCCCTGTACTTTGGCTCGATATCACTTTATGGGGAATAAACTATTAATGCATGCACTAAAAATATGGTGTTTCGTTTGAGTGACAATACAGTGACAATACTGTTTTATGTGGGTTTTCTGGGTAAATGTCTGCATAAATAAAAAGGGTATTGAGAATTGATTAAAGAATTGGGAGATGAGAATTGAGGAGAGGAGACGAGGGAATTTGGGAGGGCATAATAATGGTAAAAAAATTATATATTACCATTGAAAATAGTGTTCCTCCTAGGGGTGAAAGTCGGATGGATCGGATCGGAATTAGCCTTTTCGGAAAATTTCCAAAAAAAATCGGAAGTACAAAATCAATTCCAATTCCAATTCCAAAATTTTCGGAGTCTAAAAATTCATTCCAATTCCAAAAGGCCCGGAAATTTCGGAATTTCGGAAAAAATCGGAAATCACATAAGCTTTAAAATTTCAAAACTTAGCCGAAATTTTCTAAAATATTCATAATTTTTCGAAAATAAGAGCATCATCGTCGATAAAGTAAAACTAATAACTACTAAATTTCAGTTCAAAAAAATAAATGAAAATAAACACAGCATAATATCCAATAAAACTTCTAACAACAATTCATTATGTCAAAATCATAAAACAAAACTTACAGGTGTATTTTTCGGAAAATAAGTATTATATATTATATACTATTTATAGGTGTATTTTTCGGAAAAAAATCGGAATTTTTCGGAATTAATTTCGGAATTAAATCGGATCGGAAATCGGAAATTCCAAATTTATTTTTTTATAATTCCAATTCCAATCCAAAAAAATCGGAAAATTTCGGAAATCAGAATTTCGGAAGTCGGAATGAAAAAAGTTATTCCAAAATTGGAACTTTTCGGATCGGAACCGGCGGAAATTGGAAAATCCGTTCCAACTTGCACCCCTAGTTCCTCCATCTAAATTGCCGTCAAAGATGATCGAATTTATCAACGAGTCGGGTCAAAGATTCGTGCAAAATCGGTTTTTTCACAAGCCCGTTGAAGCAGTGCTCGAAATTGTTCACGGGCATTTCAAAAATTCGACGCTATCGGCAAAAATGCGTTCTTTAAAAGTTGAATCGAGTTCGAAAACACGACCGTCGTAACGGATCATCCTCTGCCACCACCATCATTAAAAACTCAACCCAGAAAATCTAACAACCGAAAATGCAAAAAAAAAAGTCCTTAATTTCACTAATCGAATTCGAATCAACATAAGTTCTGGACGAACACAAAGGGAAAAAGAAAAAAAAACGACACCTTTTCAACTCAAAAGGAATGCCGAGACTAAACTTTCATATCGAACATCCGCTTCAAGAAAGGGACAAGCGTTCCTCATCACGATAAGCCTAAACCGATAATCTTTAGGGCTGTAAATCAAGAAACCCTGTCCATACACAACAAGGATTTCGCCCTTTGGTCCAATGCACAACGGTTTAAACTCCGGACGACCTTCCCCAGGATCGTGGATATAAGGTACGGTTACCGGCCATTTTAGTCCAAGATTCAGTCACCCCATACTCCTTCAATACCCAAACATCCACACCGATTTTCGGGTGATGATAGAACACACAAAGGCACCCACCAAACAGCCCGAACCACGGCGCCAAATCACTCTCAACATAACTCGGTTGAGCTACAGTGCCGCATACCTCACTTCCTACGTCCAACGAAACAATATCCCACCCCCGGGAATCGGATCCTTTTCTTCTACTCCAATGAATCTTTCCACTCACAACGTCCCGGTTTCGCTAAGCGTAAGACCATCCTTAAATACATCGATTATTTTCCAAGAATTAGTCCTCAAACTATAGATTTTCACATTAGTTTCATCTCTACCCACATTAAAGACTGCCAAAACCTTGTAGTCCTCGTTAGACTCGTCGAACCCAAATCCGATTATCGCCTTGGTCGTATCATCCGAATTCGAATCCACATCTGCATCCGCATGGGGCATTTCCTTGAACTTTCTAGTGGATGGGTTCCACAAGTAAATATGTTTCTTGTCAATGACTACGCAGACGAGCCCATTACAGTTGCCCCGGATACAAACTGAACCTACGCGATTCGTAATCGGAAAATCAACGTCAGAAGAATCGGCCACAAGCCCACAGAACAATGGCGGCAAAGAGCAGTGCTTCAGTCTAATACCCCCCGGCGGCGTAGAGGTTGAAACGATGACGTGACGGGTGAAGTTTGTGGTGTCCTTTCTCGAATGTTCGAGATGGGCTTTGATGAAACGCTTGCTGGAGATCAATGCGCGCCATGATTTAGATACGCACCTGAATCTCAATAGGGACTTGACGGGGAGTCTTGACAGGATTTCTTCAATGTGATCTTCGAGATATGTTTCCGCCGGCGCCGGGTAACGGATAATTCTGGGTTGATGATCGGAGATTGATGGTTTTGTTTCCATTATGGGATTGAGATCCTGGTTGGGATTAGAATTCAAAATTCTTATCGTCGCCCTAGATCAAATAAAAAATTTGGCCGCCAAGTTAATTAAGTTCCATAAAAAAGAGAATTTTTTTATATATTGGGTACAATTATAGATGAAATAATTTATAATAAAATATTTACATTCATACAAATCTGATAATACAAAGATAAGATTGACGTTTGTTCATATATTCCTCACACCATCCTTTACCGGGATACCAGCTCACCAATCATGATTTCGCTCTCCCCATGCAGACTATTGTTCTTATTCAAGTAGACTTCTTTTTATATAGAGACTTTGACATAAAAGATGGATCTCTAAGGCTACCTCCAATTGAGTAAGCAAATCGGGTCTCTAAATTTTATTTTGGAGACTCATATGGAAATCCGGTAGAATTTTAGAGTCTCCAAAAAGTAAATGGCACTTTACAAATAAGTTCATCAATGAGTACTTATTCATAAAGAGGTCCAAACAAAAACTATTTTACAAAAAAATCCAACATTCAGAGGTTTATGAATGTCTAAAATAGTCTCTCACCTCTTAATATGCTCCAATTTCATCATTTAATTTAATATAACCTCATTTTGACCCCAAATTTCACAAATTATTCAATTTTGACCCAAAATACGATTTTATAGATAATTTCATTCGTCGTCGCCGTTGACCGGCGGTTTCCGGCGTTGACTTTTTTTTTTTTTTTTTCGTGATTTTTTTTTCTTTAACATATTTTTGCCCACGTTTAAACAACAATATTGTTGTGGTTGACAGTAATATTAACTATACTACAGTTTAACACAGTAATATTGATATATTAATCTCTAGCATAATAATATTAACACAACAAATGTCATCATTATTTTGTAATAGCGTAATTATAATATGTTGACCGTTCAACAAAGGTAAACATATTAAAAAGCCAAAAGAATTAATATTACTGTGGTTGACAGTAATACTACTGTAACAACAGTAATATTACCGTCAACCACAGTAATATTATTTTGGTTACAGTAATATTATAATACTCGATAGTAATATTATTACGTTACTCCGTCAACAGCTCAAACAAAACAAAAAGCCCAAAAAATAATAATATTAATATGGTTGACAGTAATATTATTGTGTTTACAGTTATTTTACGTTGACTTGTCAACAAATCAAACAAAATTAAATAAAAAAACCCGAAAAATAATAATATTGTTGCTGACTATAATTGTACTGTCAACGACAGTACAATTACATAAATGTACTGTCAACGACAGTATAACTACGTTAATGTACTGTCAACGACAGTATAATTACTGTTAATGACAGTACAGTTACGGTCAATGTTTAGCGGCGAGCGTAAAAAAACAAATAAAAAATTTATTAGAAAAAAAAATCACTAAAAAAAGTCAACGCCGGAAACCGGCGGTAGAAAAAACAGACCATAAAAAAAATCAAAAAGTCAACGCCGGAGATCGGCGGCAAAAAAATATTTTTTGAAAAAAAAGAAGTTTTAAAAAAAAAAAAAAGTCAACATTTGATTTTTGTGGTCAAAATTGATTAAATTGGGGTTATAATTAAGAGCAACTCCAACGGGGTTATTAAATGGGTTATCAAACACATTAACCTCCATTTGACTCCCCAAATTTAAAAACTCTCTCCTCCAATGGGGTTATTAAAATAGAGTTCTATTTTGATAACTCATCCATCGGGAAGTAAAAATGCATCCCAAATAAATAATTATCAAATATTCTCCTAAAAAATAGGAACACGTGAAAAAAGAAAAACCTCAACAGAAAAATTAAATTCTCTACCCTATTCAACAAATTTCCTCTAGAAAAAAAAAATCACAAAAAAATCTCAACACAATTTTTTTTTCTCTAGAGCTCAATAAAGTTCAAAGGAAAAAAAGAATCTCTATGTATATATAATTTTTTTTTTTTCTATTTTTAAAAGGTAAAAACGTGATTAATATTGATTTTGAGGATAGTTTACCAGAAAAATCGGTTTTGTATGATTATTTAAAATAGATTAAAAAATAAATAATATATAAATAATCATAAATTTGTTTGTTAATTGTTTTTTGATACTTGTGGTTGGAGTTCACTAGTTGTATAGAGATATTAAAGTATAATCCTGGTTATCAAATGAGTATTAGATAACCCCATTTGATAACAATGGGTTGGAGTTGCTCTAAGAATTAGATGTAAAAGGTTGGGGGTAATTTTATCATGTACATTAAATTTTCCTTTATTTATATAAATATTAAATGGATGAGCTTATTGGCGAAAGAGATATAGCGCCTAAACCTAGAATAATAAAGTTGGTTGTTCTGGGAATTATGCACAAAAACCCCAAAAATAAATTCCAAAGTGGAGGGCTCTATAATTTGGAGTTTCTAAACAAAGTCCCATGAAATATATATGAGTCTCCAGACAAAGTTCTATATTTAGATACAAGTTTGGAGATTTTGTAAAAATCTGAAAATTTAGAGCTCCTCTAAATTTTTTATTGGTGTTGAATTTTCTTCCACAATTTCTATATTTTGCAGTCAAATGGAGTTTGCTTACTCCATTGGAGATGCCCTAACTGAAACGAGTTTCTAAAACAATATCTAAAGATTCGTTTTGGCATTTTTCGCAGAACTCAAATTCTTTTGTTTAATACGTGGACTTCTATGTAAAGCAATGGCATCAGTTAAGTTATTTGATCTTGTTGGGAATCTACATGCATACGTAACGGAAGTTTTAAATTTTTTTTATCATGCCAATTTTCTGAACAATAAATTAATCAACAAAGGTATAATCAATTAGGCTTGATGTGTGTTTAAATTAAAGGGTAAATTATGGTCCTCGAGGTAAGGTTAAATTACGAAAATTCCCCTCATGTTTGAGTAATTACAACCACGCCCCCCAATTATGAATCTTCTTACACGTCCACTCTTGATGAGTCAAATTTAATAAAATCTTCTACATTATACGGAATGTTCTAAAGTTTTTATCCGTTTTATCCCATTCGAGCTCTACATTTTGAAGCAAGATGATCATAAGATGTGTTTTTTGGCTTGTATATATCAGATTGTAGTGCATTAGAAACTGCATTTTTGCACAAAACGAGTACAAAGTAGAGAACATTCCACGTAATCTAGAGATTATGTTGAATTTGACATCATAAGGGTGGACGTGTAAGAAGATTCATAGTTGAGGGGTAGTTGTATTTACCCAAACATGATGGGTTTTTCGTATATTGACCTTACCTCAGGGGTGGTTGTAATTTATCCTACATTAAATCGAATAGAACATAGCATGCGAATCATATAGACATGTAATCAAATAAATTTAATTCATAATTAAATGAAAGGTTTTGATTACTTACTCGTTGAACGTAAACTCGGCGGCAGAGGGGGCGGCTGAAAAGTGAGAGAGAGAGAGAGAAAACGGAGCTTCTTGTTGTGTTGTGTATTTTTCTTCTATGTCTTAAGCCTATTTATAAAATTATTTGACTTGTCGGTCAAGTCTCCTACTTGACCTAAAATTTAAATAGCCCAAGTCCATTAGGAATTTTCTAAAACTCATTCTTAGAGTCCTAATAACTCTCATATGGAAACTTAAAAAAAAAATAACAATTATATATTCGTGACGATTATAATTTCCTCGTCATTTTGAGTACCATTATGTATTTTTTAAATTTTCGAAAAATTTCTAATTTAGAAAGTTCACTTGAAACCTATAAAAATGCTTTCCTCTTATTCTTCTAATTCATAATCGACTATTACAGATTTTAGATTCAATCATAGTGAATTCCGATTTAGTTAAGATCAACCAATTAATCTTAGTTCACCATATTAAGGAATCATCTCCACAAGAAGTGTGATCCTCAATGGTTCAGGTGTAAGCTAGCCGTGAGCACACAATTCTTTGTGATTTGAATAATCATTTATTCGATTACGGACTCGTCCCAGCTGTCCCGATTAAGATTAAGACATATTTAATATATATCGCCAATCATATCGATGAATGCCCAACCAACTATGATTGACGTCTAGCAACTACATGTCATGATTCTCTAGGTACAAATGAAGTATCTGCAAGAACCTTAAATTATATTTTGCGTATAATAAGGTCTCTTTAACAAAACATATATCCCAATCGAACTAGAGACATTGGTTCACCGAGACCTCTAATATTATTCGGTAACTATGCGATCGTTCTAAAGTTATAAAGGTCATTCGTGTTTGACTTAGAAAAACTCATTTTCTCTAATCACTACACTTTCCACATCGGCCGAAGATTCCTTGGACGATATACTTGAAGAATACATAGAACATCCATGCAATTAAGCAAGCGGTCAAATCCCTAACTATACTGTATAATTTACTTTCAAACATGTAGATGTTTGATCCATGTTTTGTCAAATATTATCTTATACTGTAGATATGTGATGCATGCTATTTTTTTAATAGTTAAAATTAGGGGTGAGCAAAACCGAAAAATCAAAAACTGAAAAAAATCGAGCCGACACGAACCGAAAAAAAACCGCACGTACGGTAAAACAAAATTCTTCTAAAAAAACTATAAAATCGATTTGTGTATGAGAGAAAAAAACGGCTTTTGAGATCCTACACCGGGTGAAATACACCGGGTAGATCTTTACCATTAATATACACACAAACACACACACACCCACATTGGTGTGTGTAGATCAACGGTGAAAAATCACCCGGTGTAACCTTCACCGGGTGTAGGATAGATAAAACCGAAAAAAACCAAACCACCTACCGAACCGAACTGACAGTATAAAAAGGACATCGTTTTGATGTTGTGTATAGAATAATTGGTACTGAATTTGTGGAAATTCAGATGTGAGATGCATTCACATGAGAAAATTCGTTTCAAATATCTTTGCAAGTGATGATGGACTTACTGAATACCAAAAACTATTATGTTTTGTTTTATATTTTTAATAGTAATAAATTTCCACTAATAATGTAGTTCATGGGACCGCCTTGACCATGAATCTTAATTGGAGCATCATAATTTCAGACATTCAAAATCCAAAAAACCCATTTCAGGAAACACCCCATTTTATCATTTTAACAAGCAACTTCATTATGAATAATCCCAAGAACAAATAGTAACACCGTCAGTTGAAAATAAAAAAATATACATATATATATATAAAAGCAAGAAAAAAAAAAGAAAAAAAAATGTTTTTAACGTCCAAATTCACAGTTAATCAAGTATCAATTTTGTGCCAAACCAATTCGTACCAACGGGCAAAAACGAAACTGAAAAGACACCGAATTGATCCCGAAACCGAAAATCAAAAACCTAAAAACCGATTACCACAGAACCGAAAAAACTCAACATGTTGGGTTTTTTAAATGTGAAAAACCGATATTATCAGTACATGTTAGGTTTTTCGCAAAAACTGAGCCGTACCGACCCGTGCAGTGCATACCCCCAGTTCCTGTCATTTACTCATATAACATTTTCTTCAATATACCATTTTCATATCATATATTTAAATTACATTTTCTTTTTTTGGAAAAAGTCAACTGTGCAACGCACGGGCAAGATACTAGTATGATCTGAAAGAATTAGAACTAACCCTTAATAAATTAAAAATCGTATAATTATACAAAGAGATACCAAGTACTTGAAAACCAGCTTCAGTTCTCAGACCGGAGATTGATAAAACGTTCATTGATTCAAACAACAAAGGACGCAAACTTACATAAAAGAAAAATGACGCTAACAGCTACTCCTCTCCACATACATATACATTGAATTTCGGACACCAAGACAGCACATCGGAAACCAGTTAAATGGCTTTGTTGTCAATTCAACAGATCATCCATAATAAATAAATAAATAACTCTATCGTCACCGGCCTCATGCAAAAACAACCAACTAAAAAAAGCTCAGTTCAACGCGTTCAGTTGATACCTGTAAACCTGAAAGATAAATTTTCACGGTTCAAAAGAAAACAAATAGAAGTATTTGTTAATATAATTCCCAGGCTATATAATCCAAAAAGTTTCAATCAATAAGGGAAGAGAATTGATCAATAACGACATCCCCTTACAAACAGATGTGATCAGCTATTGTTACGACTTATAACCCCTGCTATTCAATCAGAATTTCAAGAATATACGGACAAGATTCGTATTAAAATCAGATATCAAGAAACCAATACAAATAGTGAAAATGGCCGATTCAGAAGTCAACAAAAAATAGAAAACAGCAAAATCAGAAACTTCATCAGAAAAATGCGTTTTCATACGTTGGTTAGAAGAAACATAAAGATCTCACCTCAGTTATTCAGATCAGTAGAACCACAAAGATTCCTTAATGAATCATTGTCCACAGAGCTGCATCTTGTAGGGGTAGAAGGTGGTTTGATTGGTGGTGGTGAGCATGTGTTGCTTCTATTCAAGAAGTCATTTGGTATTTGATTATTCTTTTGATGGTTGAATTGCACGTCCAAGCTTGTGCATGAGGTTATTCCTGCCTTTCTCTTGCTCTTAAACCTTCACCTTAACAAAGATTTAATCAACTAAAACACGAAGAAGAAGAAGAAGAAGAAGAAGAAAAACTTAAAACTATTTATTGTCTGTTCTCACAGATGCTACTTAAACATTTTGAGGTACCTGTCTTTTCTCTTGTCGAGGTATCTCTGCACCGATGCTTTTCTGGTTGATGGACCCTCCACTGCTTTAGAGAGAAGAGGTTAGAATCTAAACATTTTTTTGCTGTAGTGAAATTGAACAAGTTCACATGTTTCCTTTTACATAGATACCTAATTAGATAATGAAATTTTACAAATTAACAAAAACTTCCAAGTGTACGGGAAAAAAACAAATTTTATTAATAATAATCACCAAGCCTCAATAGAAGCCCCAAATCCCCGCAGGCCTACGACGAAGTCGTTTGTCTCCAACCTCAAAATGAATTCCATATGAAGGGGCAAAAATGTTATATCATAAAGCCTGAAGGAAAATCAAAGTGGATTTCAAATTCTAGACAGAATTTACCAACTCGAGTCATTTTTGAAATATTTGGCTTCATTAAAATCCAATGCAAGATTTCTAGGATTCCCTTTATCGAGTGACCAAAAATTAAGTGGGCAAACCTTGACACCGCTTTTAGATTACTTAACCAGACATTTACATGTCTTCACATTTGATTAAGCCTCTTAAAATGTCTGAGACTTTTTCAACAATCCAGCATAAAAAAGAAATGTAAATAGTAAAAAAGAAGATATTGTTTCTAAAGCAAACTGAGTTCTTGATCATAGAATACATTATACATGTATATTTCCAATAGACCTATGATGGGTCAAATATTTTATACCACGGCAACTATAAGTCACTTTTCTGTAATCCATATAACTAACACGGCAAATATGTTAACTGTTATCCATATTTCAGTTACAAGAGGTTTATCTACTAAAAGCTTTCTTTGCAGATTATTTCTGATCCATCAAACTTAACGTACCATCCCACCATACAAAAGCGACGAATTAATATCCTATTACAGTTGCAATGCGTCGTCCTAAGTAAACATATACATTATTCCCTTCTACCCTCAGTCCCTCACCATAAACTCTGGTCTGAAAACTAAAATTACTGTAATAAAGCCCATGTTATGGCTAGGAACACATCGAATTTTGAAATAGCCGACCGGAGAGAATCTCTTGTGAAAGTGCAGTAGTTAATAGTCAGAGGATGCAACACAAAACATAATTTTCCTTTGTCTACACTATGCACTTATTTTTGGCACTTATTACGAGAACAATTTGACAAGTATACCCCCCAAAGAGGGGAGGAAATAGAATAGCATACCCGATCTCAAAGCTATTATACTACACCTTGATTTAGTTATGGAAAGTAGCAGCTTTAGCTCATGCATACAGCACAAACATTTCAATGTTAGAAATTGCTATTGCATAAGTAGTTCGAAAGGATACTGTCCTTTAGCATGGGTTATAAGATGAGGAATGCTTACCAGGGGTCCCTTCACGAAGTGAGATACATTCATCCGCAAGCGCTCGAGAGTTTTCACTCATTTTCACTACAAAATTTAAAAAAGTTCAAAAGGTAACATACACTAACCAAGTTTTCCGCACTACTCACACGAAAGAGACCCAACGGCATTCAAGCATTAATTTTGTTACGGTGAGTTAATCAAGTCCTTAACAGCTAACAAAGATAGAGATACGATAATCTTTTTACCTGTCTGTAGAGCTGGCAAGAGAGCGACGGGAGAATCTAGACCTGCTTTCACACTCACAGCTTTCGAGAGGCTGGTTAAAGGGTGAATAATGATAGTATCATCAACTGGCTGCTGTTCTTGTGGAAACTGTACCGGGCTTGCAGCAATATGCATTATTGATTGCGCCTAAGAAAACCCAATACATAAGTATAGGAATCGACACTCATTACGCAAACATATGTAAAATAGGAAATGTCGTTAATAATGATGATTATTGATTAAAGAAGCGAGTAACAAATAAGCATTAATTATTGAAGAAGATGCTTTACTACCTTGTCTTCTGGAACATCGTCATACACATTTACTTTGCCACAATAAAAAATCGTCATTTGTCCCACCGGCATACCTAATGATGCTGTTGTTCTGGAAACAACGAAAGAAAGAAAGAAAGAAAGAATCCCCTTCAGAAGTAAGAAATAAATGCACCAACTTTCATGGGCTACATAATGGTCACATAAGCTACATCGTTTCGGACAAATACTTGATTTATCGGTAGGATATTAAACAAGGGAGACGAATAAGATTTCAGTAGACATGACTCAGATGGAAGAATTAAAATGAAACTAACATGTTACTTAAATGAAATTAGAGAATGTTCGAATTTGCAGAGCGCCTCATTGAACAAAAAAAGAAAGAAAGAAAGAAGAAAACCTAGATAGAGTAGGGTCATTGTTGACAGCAAGACAACGGGCAGCGGCACCGGAAGAATCAGGTTTGTCGAGATCCTTTCCACAAAACGGCGCCGTATATTCAGCCGATACAGAAGTTTCCCCCTCAATGTGGGTTGCTTTGGTAACCTACATTTATTTAATACATTTCAACAACTCAATCAGTACTAATGTACTTAAACAGCAACACTAAATTCAAGGCACAGCAGCTCAATTAGATTTTTCCCACACCAGAAAACATCTTAATTATAAACAAAAGTAATAGATATAGACTGATTACAGACACTCTCCGGGATAACACCATTGTCGTTAGGGCGGGAAAATCGGAGCCTCTTGCGCGAACCGGAGTCGGAATCCGGCGCCACCTCAAGGAGAGTCTTCAGCATTATCACTTGCTGAATCGCCTGCGATTTGTTCCACGACGGCCGCCTCATCCCTGCACAATTAATTAATTAATTAATTAATTGAATTAAAAAAAAATGAAAGCCGGCGCACAAAATCGAACCGCGGTTCTTCCGGCTACCTTTTTCCTTGAGGTAACGGCGGCAGTCCTCGCGGGTGACCTGAGCAATGTCATCTTCGGTGAGCTGGTGAAGCGGCTTCTCGAGAGACGAATTGACGGCGGTGACTTCCGGCTGCATGGCTCCGAGCTTCCGGGGTCGATTCCGCCGGAAATCTGGTCGGCAGAAGCAAGATCGGCGGCTTCGGGAGCAGATTCGCTTGGAATTACGTGTAGTTTGTCAGTTGTAGAGTGAGAAAGTTGAAGAAGAGTGGGTGGGGAAATATGGCCGCGGCGTCGCAGAGTTTCGTGCGGGTGGTTTTTCTTTTATTGGCTGTTGATAATGCCAGAGCGAAATTGTTCGAAATGTCCTTTTTGCCCCTACACAGTCATCCGACAATTCACCGAAGCAGTGAGTGGTAATTTTAGTTGCCTTGGAATTTTAACCGCTAAACCCACCGGTCACTGTCCAAGCTCTATATCAATAATTTCGCGCGGGCCCCACAAGGTTTTCGTGGGCTTTGCTATAATTACCAAACGTACCAAGGACTAAATTTCAAATTTCGTGAGAAGTAGGAATCAACTCTAGACCTGACCACCGGTTCGGTTAGAACCGGAACCGAACCGGGTCAACGGTTTTAGAACCGAACCGGAACCGGAATCGAAAAAACCGGTTCGGTTCCGGTTCCTCATTTTTGGAATCGGGAACCGACTGGTTAGAACCGCTGGTTTGAACCGGTTTTTATAAAAAAAAAAAAAAAATAAAAAATAATTTCCTAGCTCTCTCTCTCTCTCCCTCTCTCTCTCTCTCTCTCTATATATATATATATATATATATATATATATATATCCGTGTATATTTATCTATATATATATATCTCTCTCTGTTTATATATTTATATATATATATATATATATATATATATATATATATATGTATATGTATATGTATATATCTGTATGTAATAAATATATCTGTATATATATATGTATGTATATGTTTCTCTCTCTCTATATACCGAAATTTTTCGGTTCGGTTCCGGTTCCTCCAAAATCGGAACCGGAACCGGCGGTTCGGAACCGGAACCGGAACCGAACCGAACCGTGGTCAGGTCTAATCAACTCCCATCGTAAAATTGTTAGGGCGGCTGATACTGCATTTCTGGGTCTACAGAACTTACATCTGTTGAAATACATTATGTGGTTTTTCACCGTAATTCTACACATAATAACACACACTCATATGTATATGTGTTTAATGAGAGTTATTTATATGTATTTACGGTTTAAAACCACATAGTGTATTTCACCAGGTGTAGGATCTCATAAATCCTATATTAACTCATTGTATTTTACCAATTGAGCTATGCTCATTAGTCATTACCGATTTTCTTTTATTATCTATATAAGTTATGGCAATTAGAGAGCTCTTCACTGGATCAATAAATTTCCTAATTCCAAACTATACCATCTAACGGCTAGCTCTTCAGACCACTCTCCCATCATGTTAGACACACACGAGACCAATCTTGTTTTTAGAAAACCCTTTAGGTATGAAATTGATTGGTCTATGGCATGCTAACTTCATTAACATTGTCTCCGAAATTTGAAATACTTCGCATCATAATAACGAATACTCTTTTATGGAAATATATTGTAAATTCAAAAGTAAATCAACCTGATGGAAAAAAAATATTTACGGCAACCTTGATACCCGCATTAGTGATAAAACTAATGAATTAACTATTGTTACTAACGAACTCTATTGTAATTATGACATGTTACTGCATCAAAAAGAATCTGACATTAGAATTGAATTACACAAACTTCTTCATATGAAAGAGATTTATTGGAAGCAAAAATCTAGGATTAATTGGCTTAAGCATGGGGATGACAACACTAAATTTTTCCATTCATATGCATCCAATAGAAGACACATAAATTTAATCCAAAGCATTAGAACTGACCAGGGTGCGTGGATTTATGACACCAACCAAATCGTTTTCCATTTTCAACTTTTTTTTATATAAAGGAATATAGGAATCAAATTCCTCAATTCCTCGCAAACTAAAATTTCTCAGTTAACCAATGAAGAAAAAACCAGTCTTGGTCCATATATCACTGATCATGATATTGTTAATGCAGATGGCCTTAACGCACATTTCGATCAAACCAACTGGTCGATTCTGAAAAGATCAATGATCCCTCTTGTCAAGAACTTCTTCCTTTTTAGTAGGGTTGTAAACGATCCGAGCCGACTTGTGAGCTTGATGAGCCGGCTCGAAAATAGAACGAACTTGGACTCCAGTTTTTCGAGCTCGAGCTTTCTGACGAGTCGAGCTCGAGCCAGTTTTTAGTTGTTCGTGAGCTCACGAGCCGGATCGCAAGCCTTGTTTATGATTTTTATTACTTTTTATAAATATTTTTTCAACAAAAAGAATATTAATAATTTTTTTTAAAATAAATTATTTATTTTCAAAAAAGTATTATTTTTTTTTTAAACATTTATTAAAATTTCCAAAAAAATAGATTTTAAATAATTTTTATTTTATTATTCAATTAATTTATTTATTTTTATTTTATATGAATTATTTTTTAAAATTTTAATTGAATATACCGTTGTGATAGAGATTTAGAGCAACTGTAGTGGAGTTATCAAACATGGTATTCAAAACTTTAACCTTCATTTCCACACTAAAATTTAGAAATTTCTAACTCCAATGGGGTTATCAAATGAGAGTTCTATTTTGATAATCACCTATTGGGATGTAAATATATTTGCCGGGAATTGACTTATAAAAATGTAAGAGCAACTCCAATGATAAACATCAAAATTGGATTATCAAATACTCATTTATAATTAAGATAATATTTTAATATCCATTAGAGTTTTTCTACTCCAACCATGGTTATCAAAATTAATAATCAATTGGAAGTTTTTTAGGGGTTTTATTTGTAATTGCCACGTGTTATTTTGTGATTGGATGTTTAGGTAGTTATTTTTTTGATAACTCAATTTCCAGGATGTATGTTTACATACAAAGAGGTAGGATATCAAAATACTTACCCATTTTGATACTCTTATTGGAGTAGAAATTTTTAATTTTGGGATATTAAAACGGTGAGTTAGCTATGGATTTTTCGGAGGTGCTGAGTTGGTGCGACAATTTATTGGCGGTGTATCGGCAACAATTACAACCTTCTCCCCCGTCAAGTCGTGTAGAACGTACGGAGGTTTGGATTCCACCGCCGCCAGACTCACATAAGGTAAATTTCGACACGGCCTTTCCGGTAGGTTCAGACTTTTATCGCATTGCTGCTGTGGCTCGTGACTCTCAAGGAATGTGCATTAAATGGGTGACAAAACGCATTAGGGGCAAACCTAGCGTGGCCGATGGTGAGGCGCACGCAGCCATGCTTGCGGCAGAATTGGCAGCACGGCACACATGGCGCTCGATCATCTTGGAAGGGGACTGCAAGACGATCATAGACGCAGCTAACGAGGGCAACTTCCACACATATTCCTTCGGCGCCTACTTGGAAGGAATCTTCAATCTGTTAACATCTGTTTCGCATTTAAAATTTCAATTTGTTCGATGTTCTTGTAACCGTCTAGCTCATTATTTAGCTTCCTTTGATTCTTCTGACTGTTGTGAGGGTGACACTTTACCTCCGCATTTAGCCGATTTGGCATATTGAGCTAATATATGGGTTGTTTCTCTAAAAAAAAAAACCCGATGGTTTATGAGTTTGATAATCCATTTGATACTTCCATTAGAGTTGGTCTAAGTCTCTAACCATTTAAATTTCCAATCACAAGTTGCCGCGTGACAATTACAAGTAAATTCAATCATAAACATTTTAATTGATAATTAATTTGATAAGCATGGTTAAAAAATGAATAAATCTCAATAAATATTAAAATATTATCTCAAATATAAAAAAATACAACAACTTTATTGAACTTTCCGATATCTAATTAATTGTGGGTCAATTAGCCGTGTAAACCACGATAAAATTATTTTCACAACACCAATCGAACATCAAATTAAATTTTACTATTCAATTAATTTTGACTAATCTGTGGAACCAAATTGAGTTTAGGGGATAAAAATCGGAATTCGTTTACCCAAGAAAACAATGAAAAGACCACGCGCGCAACAAACTCAATACAATTTCTTGTTCGGATCGATCTCACTTGTAGCTCCTCTGTGGCACCTTCCGGAAAGTAGCCCGCACAAGATCAAAATACAACGGAAACTGCGCGACGGCGAAAAATGTCACCGGCAAGCAAGTTACTGCGTACACCGGGAAGGCGGCGTACTGTAGCTTTTTCTTCAACACAAAAAAGTGCCCCGCGCAGAACGACACCAACATAGAAGCTATCGACACGAACAGTGACGTCAGCCCCACTAGAAGCTTCCTCGGCAGGTCCTTCCCGAAATCTCTCTCCTGGTACCTGCAATTTTACATTTCAATTTATACAAAATTCTGGCAAAAAAAAAACGAATCAAAATTTGGGGGAATTTATGAAATTTTTTTTGTTGCAGGCTTGCAGCCATGCCTGGAGGTGAGAATCGCCAGGAACATCACGACCGCCGTGACGGAGAAGCACAGCGCAATTAGGGAAGCGATTGCGAATATGCTGAACGCCGGTTGATTTTCCAGCGTCGGTGTGCCGATGTCCGACTTCACTCCGCCGGGGACGGTGGCTGAGGTCGCGAACGCCACCGTTGCAATCAGCGCCGCCACCACCGAGCACGACTCGGAGGTGCTCGTCAGCCACTCTCCGCCCTCCTTGAGCAGTTTCTGGTGAGATTCACTGAATATTTCCCTCGGCGTTTGCCCCTTCTGGTTGTACCGTATGAAAAAGTGCATCGGCATTGAATTCTTCACAAACTGCATTTCAATCGAAACCAAGCATAAACATTTTTTATTTTTTTTCAGAAGAATCAAATTCATTTTATTTTCGTGCCAAGAAAAAAAAAACGAATCGATCTTCGTACCTCGTACCACTTAATTTCCCATTGCATCTGCAGTGCAGCACCTGGGATGAGCCAGGGTTTGTTTTCACCCAACATTGCTGCAAGATGCAGAGCACTATTGCCATCTTTGTCCATTTTGCGGAAAATGGTTTCTTTCATTATTTTTCGTTTCATTAAGAATTCGTACACGTGTGGCTGCCTGTTCTCAACCGCAAGCAGAACTACATTCTTCCTCTCATTGTTCATGTCGTGTATGGCCACCGGAAATAGTTCGAGGATCTTAGCCACTATTTCAGTTATGCCATTCCTTGCCGCAATAAGAATCGGTGTTTCTCTCTTCTCCATTTCCACATCTGTCTTTCTTTCATCTGCAGAATAGTTAGTAACAACTTCAGTCTGTTTCTAGGGCTGGCAAAATCAGAAAGGGAGATGATAAATGCCGTTTTATTTTTACTAGTATCTTTCGGACTTCAAATGTGATTTTTACCAGTTTCGGGTTTGAATTTGGCAAAAGTCAAAACGCCGGGATTTGTCGTTCTTTAAGTTGGCTTTCTTATCAAACTTGAATCAACAAATATTTGATGTCGGGTGAGAAAGATATGAATGATATAATGAACACCGCCTACAATTTTGATGTTTTGAGTTATCTTTAACTCAAACAGTAACTCATTCATGCATAATTTTGTCAGCCGACATCCAATCTAGCCTGATTCAAGTTGGATTAAAAAGCTAACTTAGAGGACTACATGTTTCATGCTTTGAATTTAACCAAAATAGACTCGAAAACAGTCATAATCACATTTGAAGTCAAAATGGTATTAGTGAAATTGAAACGACATTTAACATTTCCGAATCAGGAAATGAGTCCTGAAATTAACAGTGTAACCATCAACGAGGGCATAAGGTGTTGTTTCTTTTATTCGTGGTGGTAAATGTTGTGGGGTCCTTCCATTGTCTTCGTATTCATAGGAAGCTGCATGATCGAGCAATTTTTCCATGATTTGGACTGACCATATATGCTTCTCCTTCTTCTCTCGGAGCTTTACTATTTGCATCGACCCTTGTTTTGCAGGAGAAATCAAATTCAGCCATTTCTAATGAGTTTATGAAAATGTTTTTTTTTCAGTTTGTAGGAGGCTTACCTAAGCCAAGAATCACCAGCATTGCTTTGGACAAAGATTTGAGACCATGAAAGCATGTGAAGTAGTTCTCCGGAAATAATTGATGTCCTTGAGCTTTGGGTCTGCTGGATGCGTCTGCTGAACAGAATAAGACGAGCTCGATTTTAAGGTTTGTCTTTTAATATAAATCTTAATTTAAAATCTGGAATGTGCAGTAGAAATAAGGTATTGTCTATATGAAGTTAATTTAAGTTTACGATCAGATGATTGCTGCCCCTCTGGATCTGTTTGCTGGTTCATCGTGTTTTTACTAGAGCCAACTGGAAAAGGGAAAAAAGCAATAGAGCGTCAACAAAAGAGATATTATATATGTAGGAAAAGAGAAGACGAAAAAACTTTTAACCTAGTTCTTGATTTTTGCCAACAACATTGTCTTCAGACACAATACTTCCTACAAAACACAGATACCATATCTTATAGACATCCATAAATCGTATTTTCTAGCTACGGAATCCAACAGAAACCTTCACCTTGTTTATTAACATGTCTCTGACCCTTTGGATTCTTTGAATCTTGTTGTTGACTGCTGTGACCCACTGGGAAGAATAATAGAACATGAAAATACTATATACTTTTAGTCTCTACGTACATGGAAATGGGAAATTGTTAATGTAAAATATGACACAAATTCCAGGATTTTTAAAAGCTCGATTTTGTTGTCGTGTCTAATATATTTGGAACTAGCTGGAAAAGTTTAAAACTTCAGAAAGAAAAAAGACGGGTCCACGGCGTTAGTTATGGAGTTACGGTGCTGTTGTGAGTTAAAGCAGACACTAATTAACAGAATCTATATTTAACTGTAAGAAGGGAGAAAAAAAAAAGAATATAGTTGTTTCATGGATACTTACTCAGTACCCATATTATATTCCTCAGCAAGAAAATGAAGCCTACGCAGGTCTGATAATTCTCTGGATATCCGGCGTTTTCTTCGTAGTTAAGGCCTTCAGATAGAGTGTGGTTGTATTCTAGCTCCAGCTCATCAACAAATATACCTTCACAAATAACATGCGGTTTATACAAAGATAACTCTGTAATAATTATTTATGCCTTCACACTCTGATTCAAATATCTTGGATTTGAAGTTAAAAATAACAAAAAAACGTAGAGAAAAAAAACACACTCACAATGATAAATAAGTTTATGGAAACCTCTAATATGGTTTCCACTTCTGAAGGCAGATGGTTTGCTTGCCAGAAGATGAAGTGGTGATAATCCATGCATGTTTACCGCGTTGAGAAGCTTGTCGTACAGGTGAATTATTTGAAACGCTATATCTGCCGGAAAATATAAACAAAACTATGATCTCTCAGGCAATACTCTCTAAATTTTAGGTACAATAGTTTTTTTTTTTTTTTTTTTTTTTTTTTTTTTTTTATTGGAGATATAATGGTACATAAATTTGTACCTACTATTTTGTCTCCAACTTAACAAATAGACTATTTTAACCTAGCAATTTTGACTTGTTCATGATATGGGCTCACCGAAATATTCTCCCGAGATAGCGGAGTGAAGAATGGTCTCGCCATCGTTCCTCCTGCCATATTCATACCCCTCTCCGTTTTTACAAAATGAATGGAGGCGGAGAAAAACGTGCTTTCTGCCATGCTGTACGGATATAAAGAAGGGAGTTTCGTTTTCTTTATTACGCACACCTATGAGTTTCAAGTCTGATGTTGCAATGCAGCTGCACATTTCGATGTTTCCGAGATAGGCAGCAAAGTGGAGGGGCGTGTTTCCGAGTTCGTTTTCGATGGCCAGAGCTGAGGGTGTGGTTTTCGAGACTATGGAAACGAGCTCTTCCACTATCGATTCTTGGCCGTCGGATATTGCTATGTGAATTGCGGTGTCTCCGGATCTGGTGGTCTGGGCCTTGTGGGACTGTGGGTGTTGTTTGTATATGTTGATGACTTCTTGCCAGTTGCTCTTCATGGCATTTCTGAAGAGCTTTTTCTTGATTTCCTCTTCTATTATGGATGATGCATCTTGTGCATAGGGGTTCATTTTTCTCTAGTTGTCTTGTGTCTTGTCTGGGGTGGAGGAAGAGACTGGTGTTATATATATATATATATATATATATATATATATATATATATATATATATATATGTGTGTTCACCCCGAGATAAGATCAAATTACAAAAAAAACCCTTTCTGTTTGAGTAATTACTACTGCTCCCCTCAACTATATTTTCTTACGACAAAAACCTCTTATTTAATAGATACATTTGATACCATAAGGGACGTGTATGACAATACATAGAGGTGGTTGTAATTAACCAAATATGAGGGTTTTTTATTTTATAATTTAGCCTACCTTAGGGGATTGACCGTAATTTGCCATGTGTATATATATATATAATTGTGTTAACAAATCTTAGTATTTTCCCTTTTGCTAACGGTATTTGTGGTTCTAAGTTGAAATTGGTGTTGGATGAAGAGTTTTCAGTTGAAATATTATACTCCCTCAGGTCCCTTATTATATATCGTTTTGGGTGGTTACGCCTTTATTAAGATAGTTAATATATTATACCAAAAATAACATAGTGAAATTTAAAATATGCTTGTCATTAATTAGTTTTTAATTAATTAATTAAGACTTAAGAGTGATGAGGGGCAAATTTAATTAAAATGCAATTAATACCCAATTGGAACTCTAAATTGACAAATAATTATGGACTAAAAAACAGCCCAAAAAGACATTCAGCAAGGGACAGAGAGGAGTATATTAATTTTGGTATTGTGAATTTTGGGAAAAGGGTAATATAGGAAATTTAAGGTGGTAAATTGAGTTGTTTTCTAATTTAAATGCCATAGCGAATTATAGCTGGGTGGTATGAATGAAGAGATAAAAAAAAAAAAACAAAAAACAAAAAAAAAGAGCAACGGCTTGTAGCTTTTGCTTCTCTTCATATTGTCTCATCTCTCACGGCAACAAAGATTCAAATGGAACTTGGCCATCTAATATTCAGTGCTCAACACAAAAGTCAACAGTGATTGGTGATGGAAGTGTAAAGATGATTACATTATTATTAAAAAGTAGTGTTCTATCAGCTTTATGTTATGCCTATTCTCCTTTTGTTCCGGCTCACGTTCATCACACCTCTAGGGAGTCCCATAGCACTTGGACTCAAAGTTGGCAAACCTAGTGTGAGTTACGGATGACAATCGGTACAGATTTGGCGTGTCTCATATTCGAAACCGACCCGTTTAGGACGAGTGAGCCATTTAGGACGAGTGAGCCGTTTATTGATTGGGCTGAGATCAATTTATCGGGCTCAACCTTATTTGGATGTGATTGGACTTCCGTAGAAATAACTATTAAATTAGGCATGTGACCCAGTAAATATGGGTTTATTGGGCTGGGCCAATAGACATATCAGTTAGCTAAGAGGTTATCTATATTCATATGATAACACAACAAAGACACATCTACCAAAGTTCTAATTGTTAAACCGATCTTACGATTCTTGTATTCAACAATTACAATAAAGCACATAAAGTGATCAAGTTCATGCACTAAATAAATAAAGTAGAAGAAATAATCCAAAATTAATAATTACATAAAATCACATAATTGGGTTCATGAATCCCACAAATGGTTCGAATAAAACCCTAGAAATAAAGACTTAGGTACTTGTAATTCTTAGGACAAACAAAATAAAACTCATAAAATAAATAAGAAAAACTATGCTTGAGTCTTCAATCTTCATTCTTCGCGTTTTTTGGTGTAAAATTTCGTGCTTGGATCCCATTAAATTGTGTTTATATAGTGGTTAAAACTTGTTCAAAAGGAAAGAACTTCCTTGTACAATTAAAACTCCATAACTATGCAGATTCGGGTCTCGAACAGCCGTTTCAATGTTCGTAGTTTACTGTCCAGTTTCGCTATGGACGAGGGCCGTCCCAGATTCTATTACAAACGTGGGACAACCGTCCGAAACTTTTTTCTACACTTCAGTCAGTTTTGAATCCGTTTTTGACCTTGTTAGAGTTTCAAATTGAGGAAAAATGCACGAGATACGATTTGTAGCCCTTGAAAATAGATTTCCAATGCCGTTGGAATCAGGTGACTTGGAGTTCGTACGAGAGAGATATGCTCAAAACGATTGGCACTGCCAAAGTGTTGTGAGATTCATTCTTCCAATTTGATTTATTTCCTTATTAGCAATTTTTTCCTTTCTTTTTGATCATTTTTCCTTCATAAAGACTAAATTTTCGTTTTTCACCTATTAAATACAAAATATATTAATTAAAGCACAAATTTAATTAAATCCAAATAAAAAATTTACGTAAAGTAAACATATGAGTGTGAAATCTACACTCAAGAGAGCCCATTCTTTTAAGATTAAAATCTACTCGGTGTTGCATGTTGTTCTTATGAAAATTTCTACTAAAATAATAAATACTATTATATTTTTTCTAGTATATTTATTTTATTGAACTATTATATTAAATTGAAAAAATATATTAAATTAAATACTAATATAATGTACAGTAATTACGAATAACATGAAAAAGTAACCGTAAAAAGAGCTTGAAACAAATAATTCAAGAGAAAACAACTGAACAAATAGCTTACACTTAATTAAATTAAATCTACTCAAAGAACTAAAATAACATTCTTTTATTATTATATTTTTAATAGTATTTTTAGTTGTATTTTTGTCTCTGTTGTTTTACTGTGTAAAAATATCTTAAACCCTAAATTAATTGCTCTAAATTAACGTCAGTAATTAAAACTTTGAAAGGAGTTAACTAACCTGTGTTAACTGTTAACTATACGATTAAGAGTTTCCAATCTTTAAGAAATGGGTCCCACAAAGAATAGAGAATAAATAATAGGGTAAACTTCATTTTACCTACCTGAACTATACCCAACGTATAGAATACCCCCCTAAACTTCAAAATGAGTCAAAATAGCCCCTCAGTTTAAATTCCGTCTACCTTGGCTGATGTGGCACTTTGACTTTCATATCTATGACAGCTGGAGTAGCTTTTGGACGATTTTACCCCTTATCATTATTACTATTTCCGCTTTCGTCTCCTTCTCCACACCACCATCATTTTCGGTCAATTCATATTCAACAACAGAACATGAGAAAGTTCAGCAAAAAAAATCACCCAATTTTGTGAAGAAAGACTTCTTTAATTGATGTAGAATAACGCAAAGCTCGCTCAATTTAACAAAAAATGGAAAACTAAATAAAATTATATCTTAAGGAACAATAACAACAAGAGCCCAAAAAACCAAAATCATCCAAGAAAATTGAGAATATATAGCAGATTACATAATTCTGTTTTTGGGAATGATAGTAGCGGATTCCGCCAGGATCTTGGTTGTGTGTGGCGGAGCAAAGGCTGCTTTCTTATTGGTTTCTTCCTTACTCTTGGTTTCAAATTTCCGACCGCCGAACCGGCAGAAACCCGAACAACCGTATTTGGGTTTCCAAAATCGAATCCCGTTGCAATTCATCAAAAGTTCACCGTATCCGTTGGAGCCCGTAATTTGTGCTCCAAGTTGTGAGAAGCTTGACCTCCCGTCGGGGTCAAATGAGGTCTGAGTGGGTGTTATCACGGTCTTGGCACCGATTTGGAGGGAGGACGAAAAGATTGATTATTTAGTAACATTGGCGTCGGACTTGGCAAAATCAGATTTCTTTGTGAAGATAAAATTTCTGGGTTTTGGTAGAAGAATCTCAGAGAAATTATTAAAAAAGAAAGGAAGAAGATAGAAGAATGAAGAAGATTGACAGTTCTAAGAAAAATAAAAAATAAAAATGAAGAAAGACCAAAGCTGTATCACTAGAGGCTATAAATGTAATTGCACATTAGAATTAACGTCCGTTAATTTTTTAACGCTGTTTAACGTTGACCAAGAATTGGGAGGGACCGTTTTGGTTCATTTTGAAGTTCAGGGGGTATTCTATACGTTGGGTATAGTTCAGGTAGGTAAAATGAAGTTTACCCTAAATAATATTTTTATCCACATGAGATGGTCATGTGCTGAGTGGCATCCGCTTTTTTTTTTTTTTTCATTTTTTTTTAAAAACAAATGGTCCGGTTACAATTTAATTACAAACATTTAATCAGAGTTTTGGGCCAAATAACGAGTAAGTGTGTTTTTAACCTTAACTATGCAATTAAAGACTTCTACTGGAGAGACAATTTCCATTCAGTCTACTTCGGGCTCGTTCGATTACCGCTATAAAGTTTTATTGATTGAATAGTAGGGGCTAATAACAAGTCCGGTTGACAAGATTCACACTTTTTCAAATCCACTAGTAAAATCAAAGCCCGCTATTAAATGTTACTATTTCATTAAATTAGTAACACATAGGGGGCGACTAAAAAGGAAAAATACAATTTTATCCTTAAAATCATATTTTCTTAGTGTAAACTAAGTGGTTTTATAGACAATTCATATATAATAAGTGATTTTAATGAATTTAATAGAAAATCTAATCTAAGAAACCGAACATGCTACTAACTAAATAATTAATTAGTCAGTAGGGAATTAATCTAATCTTATGTAATCCAATCTAATCCAATATTGATAACCGAACGAGTTATTCATGTTTTTTTAAGAATGTACATGTATGAAATGAATCTCCTCATGTAGATATACACAACTCAATTAATAAAAACCAATATTAATTGTGGGAAATCATAATATAAACTAACAAAATTTTCCTAGCCATTAATTTCTCCAACTCAAATAACACTATCCACATTATATTCTAAAAAGTAAACGTCGAATTCCCCTCTCAAATCCTCCCCTAAACTCCTTCGTCAAGCGCGCCACCATAGTCGGCCACCTCGCTGTCATTCAACTCGGCGATGAGATCTCAACCTTAAGCCTCGTCGATGCGTATAAAGTCGTTTGTGAACCCGCATCGCCGCTCCAGTCTCCATCTGAAGACATCACGATTTTGTCCATCGACTGACCGACGCTGCAGAACAGTGCATTCGGAGTGATATCACCGCTCAACAAGATGGCTTCATAGGGGAATGTAGGAATGAATTAGAATTTGGACCATTATTTTCTAAATTTATGTAGTAAAAATTCGTATGGATTTTCTATGCTTGAGTAGAAGTTTGAAGAGTTCTTTATGTTGCAAAAGTGGATATTAACCCAAATTTAATAAAATATTCAAGTAGGCTATGTTTATCGAAAAATAAAAATAAAATATATATTTAAGATCTACATTTCGAGTAGAAGAAGAATCTAGCGTAGTTAATTTCTCAAAATCGACTTCGGAATTCAAATGAATAAAGATGGACATTTAAATAAGATTAATTATGAAAAGTGGAGAGTAAAAATGCACCATCCCACAATGGAAAAAAAAAATGTTTTGATGAGAACACTTTTAAATACTGGAATGTGGATAGTTAGCATATAATTCCTAACCAAGTGTGATTTTAAGTGCAAAACGACACATGTGCTGCCGCCCACCCGACCCATGCCTCACTGAGGGTCGTCATGGGATTTGGGCTTTGAAAATGTTTGGAGTTCGGCCTGTTTTGGACTCAAATTAATTAAAATTTTATAGACTTAATTAATTAAATGCGTATTATTATTATTTCTAGCTAATCAGAGCGCAACATGTGTCCAAGATTCCAACAATTAAACAAAAGTCTTCACAAGTCCACCAAATCTAGTTTATGAATTTATCATTTTACCCTATCCTGGTGCCTACAAATTGACATTCAAAACCAAAAATCAAAAGATGGCCAACAACTTTGCTTCTCTTGGGCCTGGCTTCAATGGATAAAAAATTAATTATTATATTGGAGTAATCTAATGAAGCCATGTCTTGAATCTCAAGTTGTTTGGAGAATTGTCGGAGACGGAGTTTAGACACCCAAAACGAGTCTCAATTAACAGATGCACGAAAGAAAATTTTGAAGGGCGAGAGGCAAAGAGATTCGGAAGCTCTTATATTTATAATATTCTGTCATATTGTAAGATGCATTGTTTTATTTTATCATATAAAATTTTAAATAAAGAAATGAGACGAATTCCAATAAATCAATTAAATATGTTTTTAAAATAAAAATATTCAATGAATAAAAAATAAAATAAAATAAACAAAATATTATTCATTAATCTTCATTTAAACCTCATAAAAATGTAATTAGTCTATCTACAATAATATAAAATTTATGTATCCTTAATTAGCATATAAAAAATATATAAAATAAATAAACAAAATATTTTTCTGATTATATAACAAAAAAGAAAAAGAGAAAAAGAAAAATAAAATTAAATCACAAGTTCACAACTCCCTACTTTGCTCCTAAAACTGTTGGGGCAACTCTTTTGGGCACATTTAGTGGGTGATAAATTGTGATAGATTATGTAATCCAAATTTATCAAATGTTTGGCTTTCTTTACTTGAACATTGAATAGATAAAGAGTAGCGTATCTGATTTTCAAGTCAAGTAAATCTTCAAATTGTATATTCAACGTTTGTACAACTTTATTGGCACAATATTTACCTTTTCACATTCGATCACATGACCTATTTGGATTGATAAGAAAAAATTCGAACAGTTACAATCTACATAATCATATCCCTCAAACCAAACATGCCCGTTCGCCCTCTTTTGGTTTGAAGGAAATAAGGTAATAAATAGGTGAAGCATATATGCAAACCCATTTTTTTATTAGCTCAAACTCACATAAAGAAGTTTATTAGTTCAAGCTCGTAAATTAATTTAATTTTATTACATCAAGACCAAACAGGACGAATATACCCTTATCATTAAATAATGCACAAATACAAACAAACTCTATTTTTAATTTGTTCAAGACCAAAAAAAAAATTAAAAAAAATATATATAGAAAAAACTCACAACTGCCGCCACCAGACCGCCGAGTAGGGGTGGTAAACGAGCCGAGCCGACTCGTGAGCTCGACGAGCCGGCTCGTAAAAAGCTCGAACTCGGACTCGAGGTTTTCGAGCTCGAGCTCGAGCCGTATTTTAGTTGTTCATCAGCTCGCGAGCCGGCTCGCGAGCCTTATTTATTATTATTTTTTATTTTTTTATTTTTTTTATTTTTTATATGTTATTTTTATTTAAATAATGTATAATAATATAAAATATTATAGAAATAAATACAAATATTAAAAAAATATATAATCACAATTTAGTTTTTATTTTGTATTTTTTTAAAATAATTTTTAATAATAAAATAATAATTAAAAAAAAAAAAAAAAAAAAAAAAACAGAGAGAGATTGGGCTCGAGCTCGAGCTCGACAAAATTAACACGAGCTCGAGCTCGAGCCAAAGAACTCGACGAGCTCGAGCTCGACAAAATAGACTCGAGCTCGAGCTCGAGCTCGGCTCGTTCACACCCCTACCGCCAAGACACCGACCAGCGACACTTCCACTTCCACCGCGCCGACGACGACCAGCGACCCACCCACCGCACCATCACCACCACCCCACCACCACCAAGTCTTTTTTACTAAACTTTTGTTTGTCAACTCAAAAACATTAATCGAGCATCGATTCTTGAAAAATATGCGTGGATGAACATTAATCTATGCTTACTTCTTGTTGGGTTGCAATGCGTTAGCTGATTTTAGAAAAAAAATTGAGATTGAAATTGATTTTTTTGTGTGTTTTCTTTGTTTTCCCAAATCGGTTTATCCACACCGAATTTGTACACGAAAATCGGCGTCACAATACCGATTTTTGTTAATCAAATCGGCGACACAACGCCGACAACGCCGATTTTTTTTATTTATTTTATGATTTATGTTTTTTATTTGGTTTTGAATTCCATCAAGGGTAAATTAGTATTTTTATGTTGGAGGTCTTGAACTAATAAAAAAATGGGTTGACATATATCCGCCGCCAATAGAATATTTTATTGTACATTATCAAGCTTCGGCATTGATGATAAAAAAAGTCTAGTATAAATAGTGGCCGGAGACCCAAATCCCAAATTCATTTGACAATTAATCAAGCCATGACCTTTCGACTTGTGTAATAGAGAGTTGGGAGCAAGTCCAACTTGCCATGAAATGACCAAAAGGCCACGGAAAGAGTAGGGGTCCATTAAATAAGAAGGGTATATGTGTCATTTACCATGATTATCCTATCAAGTCATCATTACTAAGAGCATCTTCGATCGGTAGCTATATCGGCATTTTTTCATTTGATTTAGGTATTTTTAGTCTCCTACCCGAAATTCCCATATCACCATTACACCTAAAATTATGAATATTTGGTTCTAGCCTCCCACCGTGTTAAACCCCCATATCATCATATACTCAAATCTTATTTTTCCACCAAATTTTTTTGGTGAAGGAATTTTCGGGTTTTTTCTATTTTCCTATATTCCTATTTTTTCCACCAAATCTTATTTTTCCTACCAAATATAGAGGTGAAATATGATTTGGTGTAATTAACACCATTTTATAAAGTAGCATATAAAATGACTATTTTAACTAATTGCACCTAATTACCAACTTATTAGCATATCATAATTTCCAAAGAATATTATAATGTTTAATATCATTCCACAAATTACATTTGAGTTTTTTAGATTTATTTTAGTATGAAATTAATATCTACAATAATATTAAAACACCACTAGAAATGAAAATGAGCCATAATATTTAAGATTTTTTTAAGCATATACAATTCGGACTTTTTATTTAAAATGAAATACGGAATTATTTTGTGTGGAAACGCGTTTCCAATTTTTCATTATTATCAGAAACGTACCCAAAACTATATTTACAGAAATGACCCCGAAATATTTCCGACACGAGTGAATTGAAGTTTCCGTGCATCGTAGCTGCCAACCAAACAAGGCCTACACGAAATATTTCATCATATGATTGTCTATTGTCCAATAGAGCAACCCCATCACCCCCTAAATTGTAAGGACTGACACCGGGGTCTCTCTCAACTCTTAACCATTACCGATGCTCTAATATATATACGCTTCGTTTGCAATTAGTACCAAAATCAACCCTAATCTTAAAAAAAAAAAAAACCCCCAATTTCGTAAACAGCTCTCTTCAATCTGCAATCAGCACTGTTAATATTGAACAAATTATTCAATTGATCGGAAATATGTGGGGTCAATTTTCCGGGAAAGATGACTTGGAATCGGGCCGCGAGCCGCTGTACCCGATGATGACGGAAAGCCCAGAACTCCGGTGGTCTTTCATCCGCAAGATATATACGATCGTCAGTATTCAGTTGCTTCTAACAATTGCTGTTTCTGCCCTTGTTGTCACTGTTCACCCCATTTCACTCTTCTTTTCCACCACCCGTGCTGGATTGGCGGTTTATATTGTCCTCGTCATCACCCCCTTTATTGGTAGGGTTTTTTGTTTTTTTTTAATTATTTTTTTCTTGTTGAATGGACAGTTTTTTTCTGGGTAATTTGTGATGGGTGTTCGTATTTTGTACTGATTGGTGTTTGTTTTTTTGGGGGGTTTTGTAGTTTTGTGCCCGCTGTATTACTATTACCAGAAGCACCCTGTGAATTATATCCTGCTCGGGATTTTCACTGTGGCCCTTGCGTTTTCCGTCGGGTTGACTTGTTCGTACACCAGCGGTGAGCAATTTTTCGTTCGTTCTCGATTTGTGTTTATTGCTTTTTTTTTTTCTTTTTTTTTTTTAATTTTCTTTCTCTTGTTGTGTTTGTGGTATTCGAATTGTGAATTGGTTATCTAGTTTTGTTGTTCGTTATCGGGAATATGAAATTCTTAAGGTTTTTAAACATCGTATAAAGTATAAACCTTACAGATTTCGATAATTATATAAACCTTACGTATAGAAGGATACTAGATAACAACTATTTGCATTAGATGCAGCATTGCATACAGGACCTTGTTAATATGTTGTCATTAATTACGAGAAATTCCTACACTAATTACTGTATTCTTATGTATTTACGAGCAGGAAATACGTGTTGTACACTAACGTAGCTCCTAATTTATGTGTGAAAATGGCGGTATACCTATGTTTTCATAATTTCTGAACGTCCTCCAATATGTATTGACTTCTCTCCAAAGAATTTCTCGTTTTTCTTTTGATGAGAGTTTGCCATAACTATTCCTTCACATAAATCTACTATTCTGTTGAAATGCCGTCTATGCGCTGAAAGGTGTAGTTAAGTACTTATGTTTCATATTCACAGTCCGCAAGGGTCGTCTCATACATAGCTTTCAAAGGCCTCGTTTGGTTTGTAAGATTAGCCATGATTAAATAAATAATTGGACTTTATTAGATGTTCTGTTAGTCAATTAATTTTCCGGTCCGGCCCACATTCGTTGAAAAAACGACTCTACTAGTCGCCAATTGGGAGATTATTTATTGGACCTCCCAATATAATTAGGTTTTTCATATGATTATTCAATCCAGTTTCACTAATCTTATCTTACAAACCAAACAAGGATTTAGTTATATTTGTTGATTTTTTTTTATGGCAGGCAAAGTTATTCTAGAAGCTGCTATCTTAACTGCCGTCGTTGTAGTCAGTCTCACTCTATACACTTACTGGGCCGCAAAACGAGGTCAAGATTTCAATTTTTTGGGACCGTTTCTTTCCGGGGCTATAATGGTACTCTTGGTATTTGCCCTGATTCAGGTTCGTACAAATACATATTGTGTTTGATTATTGTTCTGTATCAGTTACGATCAATCTTGATTACTGTAAAATTGATTATTACCGCAGATTTTCTACCCGCTTGGTAAGCTCAGCGTGATGATATACGGATGCTTGTCCGCTGTAATATTCTGCGGATATATCGTTTACGACACTGATAATCTGATTAAACGGTATGGCTATGATGAATATATCTGGGCTGCCGTTGCACTCTATCTCGATGTCATAAACCTCTTTCTGGCACTGTTGAGCATTTTCAGAGAATTGGATACGTAGAGAGTGAGTATTGGTTCGGTTCGGTTTCGTTTCTATTACACTCTTTAAATATACTTTTTTCTATTTTACTTTCGATATGTTTGGTACATCATCCTAGAAATTTGGTAGCTATTGATGTAAAGCACTGCCGCTCGTTTGGTTCATCGGGTTTCTATGTACGATGTTGTGCTAAATGAGTGACGGTATGAGAATTCTTGCTGGTATTTCTGCGATTCGGATGCAATTTATGCAGTTTAATTTGATATATACAGTAACATACTTTGGTTTGTGTCGACGTGGATCTGTGTAAAACGCTATAAATATGCAAAGTTACTGGTTAGATATTTCTCAGTCGAGTTTGTACGTAAATTACACTTTGTAAGTGTAATTTTGATCGGTTTGCATGCGAGTTTTAGATGAGAGTAAGTGCATTATCTTCATTTAAGGAAGTAGTCGTCGTAAAGTAACAAAAGTTAGCGCCGAGAGTGACTTATGTTGTGGTTGTTGTCATCATTTCATGTAGACAAATAAAAATATAATCAAATTAAACTAAAAAATTGACGAAAAATAAAGAAAAACACTAAAATTGACGAAAAATAAAGAAAAACAGCAACTCACAATTTTTAAAATTTAAATAAATGTGCTCATAAAACTTAGGGTGTTATTTGAGAATTAGAAATCAAAGGCAGAGGAGACATATAGACGTTGGGATGACAATTTGCCCCGCCCGATGTTTCCCCGACATAAAATAAGTAAATATAATAGCTATAACATTTAACTGAACTAGCATAAATTAAAATCTTTGAAGTTATAAACCAAAATATGATTGTGTAAACTAGTTACAATTTCTTTCAATGAACTATGTAAAATTCTTGTACATAAAAACCCCCTTCGTAGGTAAAACTTCATTGTATGCCATACAAGAAAATACTACTTATGCTATAAATAATGTATGTCCATTGGCGCCTAGATGTCCCGCATCATGTGCCATTGAAACTACACGGCCCCTTCTGTAATGCCAATCACATGTTATACTAATAAGATCGAAAACTGAATTTCTCATTCTCAGAATAATGCAATACAAATTTATCGACTACTATCAAATTACCAATATATCAAGAAACACCTTGCTGATCATGCTATCGAACGAGTCTTAAACCTTGTTCGGAAAACCTTGTCGTGGAAAGAGGAATGCAAGGGTCCCTTGGTTGTAACCTTAAGCACCCCCATATGTTTTGAGCCATGAGTTGCCCTAAATTGCCGTTGAATTTTCATTTCCAATTTGTTTCTACTGTCCCATTTACATGAAAGGTTTAGAAACTCTTAAAAGCTTGGTACTTTATGAAAATTAATTTTCTTAGACCGGTAAAGAGATTTTTTATCATTACTATTTTTATATTAATACAAGAAATAAGAACCCGAATTTCGAGAAATTGAGAAGAAATCTCTTTTGAGTTTTGAGTCTTGATTTTCTTCAAAATCTTATAAGTTGTTCATAATATTGTCGAATATTATATTGGTTGTAAGGAAAGATGAAAATTGATTGAAATCGTGTGGAATTTTTTGAGTGTTCGGTTTGGCGTTAGGCGTTTGGCGTGGAAATAGCAAATTTGCTCCTTCAACAAATTGTAACAACCAATTTATGGGGGTAAAACGTTATCCCATCGGCCCACTTGTCAGGGCTGGTTCTGAGGAGAGACAAAGTAGGCGATCGCCTAGGGTCCTATGATTTGTTTCTTTAAATTTAGGACCCCTAATTTTTTTTTAGCATTTATTCGGAAAAAAAATATGTTATGTATTTATATATAATTATTGAGAGCCCACAAATTTAGAAATAAATATTAAATCAACGGTTGTTACTTGTTTCAGTAATTCCTCTAATCACGGAGCCCTTAATTATTAAATTTATAATGTATAAAGTTATTTATTTATATATATATTCACTTATTTTAGTGTTAGTTAATGCAAATTATCCTTAAAAAAATCGGGGTGCTGCAGTCGAACCTCCGGAAACTTTAACCTCACTATAATACAAATATCTAGCCTTGTCGTCACTCGTTATATATCTTACAAAAGCGAGTTAACATAGAGTTTATCATCATTTTAGAAAAAAAATGAGTTTTATTGTAGATTGTAGAAGGGACCCTATTTTATAACAGTCTTCGAATCTCGTCTATGGACTCTAAAATCTCAGCAACGACCTGTCACTTGTGTAATTGTAATACTCACCCCAACCCGTTTGTACGTTGGGATTGGGCCATAAGGTCTTGCACCGTAATTGGGGTGGCCAGCTCCAAGAAATTAAATTATCTTAATTAACTTTAAAAATTTATTTGGGGTGCCGTACTATGCATGACAGTTATATTTCTGAGGGTACAAAGTGCTATTAATTTTTGGGTTTAATAAAGTTTACATCCCTAATGTATATACCCTCTGTAACATTTAACCCCATAAAGTATCATTTGTAACACTTACCCCCCTCAAGCTCAATTCAATTTTTATTTTAAATCCTCATACAGTAAAATTTTCTTTTTTATTTTATTTAAAATAATAACTAAAGGAATAATTAAATTATACAACTAAAAATATTTTTTGAAAGATGCAATATTTTAAAATTTTAAAATATTATCTTGTACTGTTGGGTACATATTTAATAAATAACATCTAATTTTTATTGGACCAATTAATTGAATACATTCTTAATGATAAATTTTAAGAAATCAATACATAACTAATCGTAATCTTAAGTATTTAAATTTATTTTAGTTCATTAGTTTCTTAAAATATATTTTCATTCATTATTATACAATATATATTACTTTTTATTTTTTTTTCCAATAATTTAATTTTAGTTACTTTTCAATTTTTATGATCCAATAATTATTAGATTGTTATGTTTATTATGTTTTAATTTTAAAATATAAAATATTTGCTGTTGAGGGAGTAAGTGTTACAAATGATACTTTAAGGGGTAAGTGTTACATAAAGCTATAATCCAGGGGTGCAAAATGTATTTAGCCCTTAATTTTTTTCAAAAGTGTAAAGTGGCAAAATGCTAGATGTCAATGGTACCTTATTGTAGGTCTATTCCTAATATCATTTGGTGGACTATGCTCAGAGTAATTCGGCCTGGATTTGTAACTATTTGAGCTCATTTGATGTTTCATTAACTTAAAATTTCCAGGCAATTAAGCTCGAACATGCCTTACAAAAAGGGGAGAGAGAAAAAAATTCAGAATTTACAACACATAAATAAATAAATAGATAAGAAATAAATAAAAATAAGTATAATTTCCCTTGTTTGAACGCTAAAATAAGTGAAATTACAGGGGGAAAAAATAATACAAAAATCAGCAAAAAAAGACATTGACGTGTAGGATGTTGTGAACCATATATATGGGCTACATTTTAAATTGCAACTATGTACTATGATCAGTAATACATATACTTCATTGTATTATAAAATACGACAAAGTGATTCCTGAACTTCATGGTCAATCTTCGTATCTCTAATACTGTTAGTTTATGTAGTGTAGTTATCTATTTACAATTGTATTTATATGATATAAATACGCATTTGTTCACTTTATTACTTGAACATTTTTTTACGACTTAATCCTACTTTGCACCCTTGTAATATATTATTTTGACACTTTGCACCATCAAAACACAATATATCATGCATAATGCACTCCACATAATTTTTAAAGCTAATAAAAGGTAATTTAAATATTTTTAGTTGTATTTAAAAATTATATTTTTTATCATAAAAAAATTTTACGAAAAAAAAAATTCTGCTATTTCGTTATCAAGTTATTTGAAATCATATTTTCTTCCAAATATTTCACATAATATTTCCACCAATACAGTAAAAGATCTATCGATCGGATAATTTAGTGATTATCTTCATTTTATTTTGTAAGAAAATATATTTTTTTCAATCATCCGGTAGATTTTTATTTTCGCCCTTTGTGCGCTTGAAATTTGTTATTTTGCACCCGGATTTTTTTTTTAGGGTGCATTGTGAATAATTTATTGTGTTTTGAGGGTGCAAACTGCTATTATAGTTTTTTAAGGGTGCAAAGTGCCAAAATGCTCCATTTAAAGGGTGCAAACTGCTATTATTATTTTTTAAGGGTGCAAAGTGCCAAAATGCTTCATTTAAAGGGCGCAAAATGGGATTAGCCATTTTTTTTACTTTATTATTTAGCACTTCGATTGCTCGACAAGTAGCTCTAGATAAAAAATGTTCCATGTAGTGTTCGGACGTAGAAAATGAAATGCATGAATTTTGAGGATTATAACTACGGGAAGCATTTTAAATCGAGAAGTTATTCTTGGTTGACAATAAAATTATAAAATTTCAGAAATTTAAAAAGAATTTAAAAATATTATCCATAATAAAAGAAATTCATAAATTTTGGGTGAAATTTTTAGGCCCGGAATAAAATTGCAAAATTTTATATATTTAAAAGGAAATTTAAATAATTTTCAGAATATAATTTTTTTTCTAGAAAATTTGTGTGAAATTTGAGGTTGTGTAAAATAGAATTAGGTAGGAAACATGAAAAACATAGGGAGTAAATTGAGTACAAGAGATAAAGAAAGAGGGACACCTTTTATACACAACCAGAAGGCTATTTTCGTCTAAAATTGTCCAACATCTAATGTAATGGTGGGTCAACATTGAAAAGGGACGGATTCTTTAACACGATAGAGGCCACATTATCGCATTTTAGAGTACATGAGATATATACAACAGTGGTAACAGCACATGGGTGCAATTTATGTTTAATTTGACCCTATGTATAATTAGCTTTAAAATTGGCATAATTAAAGGGCCCAAAAACCACCGACGCTAAACAGCAATTACCAACGTTTTCC